CACGGCTTGAGTGGTACACGCTTCCGAAATGTTGAAGAAGTGCGAGAATGGGTGGACGAATGGATTGCTTCGAAACAAACATCGTTTTATCGAGATGGTATCGCCCAGTTGCCAGAAAGATGGCAAAAAGTTGTAGAAAGTGATGGAAAATACTTTCATTGAAATAATTTAAATAAATTTTTTACAATAAATGCTTTTTCTCAGTATTTTTTGGGCGGAAACTAAGTTAAGGTCCTAATATATACAGGCATACATGTAATTTTACTATTATTATTATTATATCAATTTTCACCTTTATGTAGACACGCTACTTATCTAAAATCTCCTTTTATCAATTTTAGGAAGTTGCGACGGACTGATATCTGTCTTTCGAGTCCAGGTAGACGAGTGCGATCGCTTATGGGTTCTCGATTCTGGCAAAATAGAACTCGCCAGAAAATCTAAGCAAGTCTGTCCCCCTGCCATATACATCTTCGATCTTCGCACCGACACCCTTATCAGAAAGTTTATCTTACCAGACGAGCAAATCAAGCAAGACTCCTTATACATCAACATCGCAGTGGATATCAGGGATAACGATTGCGGCTCTGCGATAGCATATTTGGCTGATGTTTGGCGATATGGTCTCGTAGTGTATGATCTCTTCAAGGACTCCGCTTACAGGATCGAGCATCATTTCTTTTATCCTGATCCTCTTGCTGCCAGATACGAGCTGCATGGTATAAAGTTCCAATGGACTGATGGGCTATTCGGAATAGCTCTCAGTCCTGTAGATATTCACAACGACAAAACGTTGTTCTTTCATCCAATGTCCAGCTTTCGAGAGTTTGCTGTGTCCACGTCGATTTTTCGGGACAAAAGAATCGCAGATCGGAGCACGGAAAAATTTATGCCCGTTGGACGACCCAGAGCCAAGGACTACGGCCATTCTTCAGGATCCGCCATTGACAGGAACGGCGTCATGTTCTTCAACATGGTCACCAGAGACTCCGTATGGTGCTGGGACACCAGAAAAGAATACATACCGCAAAATCTTGGGGTGATCGGAACCAGCAATGTATCCTTAGTGTTCCCGAATGACATTAAAGTGGACCACGAACGCGATCAAAGTGTCTGGCTACTTTCGAATCGCTTACCGATATATTTGTACGGAACTTTAAATAGTGGTAGTATAAATTACAGAATATTTAAAGCGGATGTCAAGGAGGCTATTAGGGATAGCGTCTGTGATCCTAATTATGTAGTTCCTGAGTCGGATCCGGGCCTCGATGATATCTTCTAAAAGAAACTGTTGATATCTTTCATCATAGTAAATTATTGTTCGACGATGCAAATAAAAGTTAGAAAACACATTTCGACATTTAAGCATTCTTTACAGTAAAGCTGAAGCGTCTATCTGTTGTTAGCAGAGCATTGTAATTCAGTAAAGCTCAAGCATCTATCTATTCTCGGCAGTGTATTGTAAAATATTATTTCAAGAGATTATATATTAGGTGTACAACTTTGTTTCCGCCGTTTTCCTATAGATGGCTTTAGCGGTAAATGATGGTCGAAATAAATAGATCATAGACGTCATACAATAAACTTGGGCATCTGTCAACATAACCCCATAGAAACATTAGTCGATTTGTGTCTGCATCATAAAGTTATTCTCGATTGAAAATGTCAGTTTATGAGCCAAATTCTCGTCATTTGCAGGAGGTTTTAACTTTCTGCTTCAATATGAAGAAATCTGCGGCTGAGACTCATCGAATGCTCTCAAATACTTATGGTGAGACTGCTATTAGTGAAAGAACGTGTCGTGAGTGGTTTCAACGCTTCAAGAACGGTGATTTTGACGTCGAAGACCAGCATAGCGATGGAAGAGAGAAGGTTTTTGAAGATGCAGAATTGGAGGCATTACTTGATCAAGACTCATGTCAAAATCAAGAAGAATTGGCACGATCATTGGGAGTGACTCAACAAGCCATTTCAAAACGCCTCAAAGCCATGGGAATGATTCAGAAGCAAGGAAATTGGGTGCCGTACGAATTGAAGCCGAGAGATGTTGAACGGCGTTTGTTTGCTTGTGAACAGCTGCTTGAAAGGCAAAGACGGAAGGGATTTCTGCATCGCATTATGACTGGGGACGAAAAATGGGTTCATTACGATAACCCCAGAAAATCATAACGAAGCGCAGAAAATCATGGGGAGTTCCCGGCCATGCTTCCACGTCGACGGCCAAACCGAATATTCACGGCTCCAAGGTCATGCTCTGTATTTGGTGGGACCAGCTCGGCGTAGTGTATTATGAGCTGTTAAAACCGACTGAAACAATCACAGGCGATCGGTATCGAACACAATTGATGCGTTTGAGCCGAGCATTGAAAAACAACGCAATACAACGAGAGACACGATAAAGTGATTTTATAACATGACAATGCTCGACCCTATGTTGCGAAAGCGGTCAAGACATACTTGGAAACGGGAAGTTGAAATGGGAAGTCCTACCCCACCCGCCGTATTCTCCAGACGTTGCTCCCTCTAACTATCACTTGTTTTGATCAATGGCACACGGCCTGGTTGACCAGCACTTCCGGTCTTATGAAGAAGTAAAAAATTGGATCGATTCGTGGATCGCCTCAAAAGATGACCAGTTTTTTCAACGCGGGATTCGTACGCTGCCCGAAAGATGGGAGAAAGTAGGAGCCAGCGATGGACAATACTTTGAATCATAAATGTATAACCAGTTTTTTACAATAAAGCCTCGAATTTTGGAAAAAAAAGCGGCGGAAGCAAAGTTATACAACTAATAATAATCTACGGCAAAAAAGATCCATTTATTTTAAGAAACGTTGTATATATTTATTATACTTTTGATTATCACCAATTATAAAATGTGATGAATTGAATAATTCAATATGAGTATGTTTTTATAATAGTAAGTATTTTGCACGTTTGTTGATTAAATATTTTTATTGCTATTTAAACGGTGTAGTTCCAAGTTATCAGTAATTACAATACCGTATATAAAATTTTTAGTATATATACAGGGTGTCCCGCGTAAAATGTGTCAAAAGAAAAATATGAATAGAACAGATAAAAGTGAACAAAAATTGTAGAGGTCATTTTTCAAACAACCACGTAAAATTTCTAGATATTAATTAAAATAGTTGGACATATCAAAGCGCGGCGACGCGGCAGGCGAGACATACGGCTCGCCGGCGAAAAAAATAGACAATTGCTCGCGGATCTATCTTATAGGCTAGAGAGGTGGGTCATTTGGCACACGGAAATGGGTAACTCCGTGTGCGTCTGTTCATTTTCTTCGCCGGCCGCGGCGAGCCATATGTCCCGCCTACCGCGTCGCCCGCGCTCTAATATGCCCAACTATTGTAATTAATATCTCGAAATTTTATGTGGTTGTTTAAAAAATGACTTCTACAATTTTTGTTCACTTTTATCTGTTCTACTTATATTTTTCTTTTGGCAAGTCTTATGCGGGACACCCTGTATACAGGGTGTTTCACACTCTCCTCCGAGAATTTTGTGGGAACGTAGAATAGGTTGATGTGAATATAAAAGTCCTATACCGTTTTGCGAAATTCGCAATAATAGTCGAGATATTAATTAAAAAAGATTAAGGAAAAACGCACGCTGAATGGTAGAGGACGGACCGCTCGAGTCAGCGCGGCCCAGTAATGAAGTGCGTGGATGTTGCGCGCGGTGATTGGAAGACAATGCACCACTGCTAATATTTATATCGCTGCGCTCCTACGTCTTGTCGCACCGCGCCAAGATAAGAATAGGCAGTGGTGCATTGTCTTCCAATCACCGCGCGCAACATCCACGCACTTCATTACTGGGCCGCGCTGACTCGAGCGGTCCGTCCTCTACCATTCAGCGTGCGTTTTTCCTTAATCTTTTTTAATTAATATCTCGACTATTATTGCGAATATCGCAAAACAATATAGAACTTTTATGTTTACATTAACCCATTCTACGTCCCCACAAAATGCACGGAGGAGAGTGTGAGACACCCTGTACATATATATATACACACACACACACTCTTAGCACGAGACGAACAGCCGCGCGCTCATTTTTGAAGGTATTTT